TCAGCTAGTTTCTTATTGTGTATGTAATTACTACTGATTTTTGTTTGTTGATTTTGTATCCTGTAACTTTACTGAATTGGTTTATCAGTTCTAAGAGTTTTTTTGGTAGAGCTTTTAGCGCTATATATTTATAAGATCATGACATCTGCTAATGGGGCAATATGACTTCCTCCTTTCTAATTTGGATGCCCTTTATTTTTTTTCTCTTACTTAATTGCTCTGGCTAGGACTTCCAGTACTATACTGAATAAGAGTGGTGAGAGTGGGCATCCTTTTCTTGTTGTAGTTCTTAGAGGAAAAGCTTTGAGCTTTTCCCCATTTGGTATGATGTTAACTGTGGGTTTGTCATATATAGTCTTTATTGTGTTGAGGTACGTTCCTTCTATACTTAATTTATTGAGCGTTTTATCATGAAAGGATGTTGAATTTCATCAAATGCTATTGATTTGTGTATGTTAAAACTTCCTTGCATCCCTGGGATAAATCCTACTTCATCATGGTGAGTGATCTTTTTAATGTGCTGTTAAATTTGGTTTGTTAGTATTTATTTTGTTGAGGATTTTTGCATCTACGTTCATTAGGAATGTTGGCCTATGTTTTCTTTTTCTTTTTTTGTTGTATCCTTGTCTGGTTTTGGTATCAGTATAATGCTGGCATTGTAGAATGAGTTGGGATGAATTTTCTCCTCTTCAGTTTTTTGGAAGAGTTCGAGAAGGATTGTATTAGTTCTTCCTTAAATATTTGGGAGAATTCAGTAGTGAAGCCATCTGGTCCTGGACTTTTCTTTGATGGGACATTTTTTATTATTGATTCAATCTCATTACTCATAACTGGTCTGTTCAGATTTTCTGTTTTTTCTTGTTTCAATTTTGGTAGGTTGCATGTGTCCAGGAATTTATCCATTTTTCCAATTTTTCCACTAGGTTTTCATGTTCATTGACATACAGTTCATAACAGTCTCTAATGATCCTTTGTATTTCTTTTGTATCAGTTGTAATGTCTCCTTTTTCATTTCTGATTATATTTGGGTCATTTTTTTTTCTTGGTTAGTCTAGCTAATGATTTGTCAATTTTGTTTATCTTTTCAAAAACAAACTTTTCAATTTTGTTTATTTCTGCATTGATCTTCATTATTCTAATTTTGGGTTTGGTTTATTCTTGGTTTTCTAATTCCTTGAGATGCGTCATAAGATCGTTTATTTGAAATCTTTCTACTTTTTTGATGTATACATTTATTTCTATGAGCTTCCCTCTTAATGCTGCTATTGATATATCCCTTAGGTTTTGGTATATTGTGTTTCCATTTTCATTTGCTTCAAGAGATTTTTAAATTTTCTTCTTCTTTTTTTTTTATTTCAGCATATTATGGGGATACAGATGATTAGGTTAC